TTTTGTTTTATGATAATGTTGCTATTTATAGATATAAATAGCATACTAACATCAACTAACATCAACCAAAGTTCAACAATAATTCAACCACCAAGAAAAATGCAAGAAAAGGTCAAAGAAGATAGGAAAAATGAGAGAAAGGTTGGAATTTTCGGACAAAATCCGAGAATGCATTTTTCCGCGCGCATTCGCGCATTTTTCCGCGCGCATTCGCGCACGTCTCGGGCAGCTCTGCTTCTCGGGCTCGTTTTGGGCTCGTCCGAACTCGGAATTGAGTTCTGTTTTTTTCTATGCGTTGCTAACGAACCCCTATATTCAATGATGTATGCCAATACAAATTTCACCCAGAATACAATTATCTAAGAATTTTTAACTTCTAAGGTGTCGGCAACTCGCTCGATTTTACTCTTTGGTTCCGTACGAACTCATCCGAACTCGAAATTGAGTTCCGCTTTTTCCTGTGTGTAGCTAACAAGCTCTTCTTTCCATTAATGTTATCATGCTCAATAACTTTCCAAAATCCTGCTCTTCCGAGATTTTCGACCGTTCCTTTATTTTACAAATACTCGAAAAATACAAGAAAAATATACAAAATTTCACACAAATACTTAAATATTACAAATTACTAAATAAAACTAAAAACTACCCAAAATCCCACAAACTTACTAAAAATACATAAAAATAATAATAAAAAACATTAATAAAAACATAACAAAAATAACACTAACAACCATTGTTGATGATTATAGCAGAGTCACATGGATATATCCTCTCATTCACAAATCTGATACTAAACAGTACCTGCAACATTTTTATAATCTAGTTCTTACTCAATTTCAGAAAAAGATCAAAATTTTGAGAACTGATAATGGTACTGAGTTTTTATTGCATGATTTTTATTCTTCCAATGGCATTATCCATCAAACATCTTTTGTGGAAACCCCACAACAAAATGGTAGAGTGGAAAGGAAGCATCAACATTTACTTCAAGTAGCTAGAGCTATATTGTTTCATGCTCATTTGCCTATTAAATTCTGGATTGACTGTGTTACTGCTGCAACTCATATCATTAATAGTTGCCATCATCCATTCATAAAAGCATCTCACCTTTTGAAAAACTTCATGGAACACAGCCTAGTCTTGATCATTTGAAAGTTATTGGCTGCCTATGCTATGCATCAACCATTTTTGCACATAAGTCAAAATTTGAACCTAGAGCATCAAAGTGCATTTTACTTGGCTATCCCCTCGGTTTGTAAAAGGTATAGACTTTACAACTTGGACACCAAGCATATATTAATATCCAGAAATGTCTCATTCTATGAGCATGTATTTCCATACAAGCATACCAAATATCTCTCTGAACCAGACACACATATGTTTCCAGAACCCTCACCCTTTGTGTTTGATTCTCAATCAATAGTACCTGCCTCAAATATTCCACCTCAGAATACTAATACTAATACTACTACTCCAATGCCCAGCATACCCAACCAACAACATTGTCCTATATTGCCTACTCAAACAATTACCACTCAACCAGATTCAACACCATCTCCTTCCGTCAGAAGGTCAACTAGACCAAGACAGCCCCCATCCTACCTAAACATATATAGTCATTCTGTACCTCATTCTTCTAACTCTTCTATGGTAATACATGATACTAATCCTGGTACACCCTATCCCATTAATAATTTTTTATCAACTTCTTCATTATCACATGATTATGCTTGCTACACTGCATCTATTTCTCATATCACTGAACCCAAGTCATACAAACAAGCTAATCTAGATCCATTATGGCAAGAGGCTATGAAAAAGGAAATCAATGCTCTAGAAAATACTAAGACATGGGAACTTGTAGACTTACCCAATAACCAGCACTGTATAGGCTGTAAATGGGTTTATAAAGTTAAATACAAGTCAGATGGTAGTATAGAGAGGTACAAGGCTAGACTAGTAGCCAAAGGCTATACTCAAGAAGAGGGCATTGATTATTTTGGTACTTTTTCCCCTGTAGCCAAAATCACAACTGTCAGATTGCTCATTGCATTAGCATCCATTTAAAATTGGCATATCCATCAATTGGATGTAAACAATGCAATTTTGCATGGGAATTTGGATGAAAATGTTTACATGAAACCACCTCCTGGTTACTTACATGGTTCTTATCCTAGAGTTTGCAAGTTAAAGAAAAGTCTTTATGGCCTTAAACAGGCCTCAAGACAGTGGTTTCAAAAACTCACAACTTGTTTGTTGCATTATGGTTTCTTACAGTCCACAGCTGATTCCTCATTGTTTGTTCATTCATCTACTGAATATACACTTGTTATGCTTGTTTATGTGGATGACATCATTGTGACTGGTGACAGTCTTACTGCTATTCTTGATATCAAACACCATCTTGATTTATGTTTCACTATCAAAGATTTGGGCACTCTTTAATATATTCTTGGCATTGAAGTAGCTCATTCTGATAAAGGTATTCAACTTTGCCAAAGAAAATATGTGTTGGATGTCTTAACAGACACTGGTTATCTTGCTTCAAAACCTGTTACAACACCAATGGATCCTAATGTGAAATTATCCTCTACTCTTGATGATTCTGTTCTTGTTGATAGTACTTCCTACAGAAAGTTAATTGGCAGGTTATTATATGTAACAATTACTAGACCTGACATATCCCATACTGTTCAAATGTTAAGTCAATTTGTTGCAAAACCTGCTGAAGCACACATGCATGCAGCCAACAGACTTCTCAGGTATTTAAAAGCTACAGTGGGCCAAGGTATATTCTACCCTAGATCTTCTAAATTACTTTTACAAGGCTACTCAGATAGTGACTGGGCAGGATGTTTAGATACAAGAAAAAGTGTTACTGGTTATGCTTTCTTCCTTGGCAGTTCTCTTATATCATGGAAATCAAAGAAGCAATCTACTATTAGTAGATCTTCTGTTGAAGCAGAATATAGAGCTTTGGCTTTAACTACTTGTGAAGCACAATGGCTCTTATATCTGCTTAAAGATTTACATGTCCATCATCTTAATCCTGTTCTTCTCTTTTCAGATAGCAAGTCCGCAATTGCTTTGGCTAAGAATCCTGTTCATCATGAAAGAACAAAGCACATAGAGATTGACTGCCATCTGATTAGAGAAAAACTCAACAAAGGGATCATTCAACTGCAATATGTGCCATCTGACTCTCAAGTTGCTGATGTCCTCACTAAAGCATTACATCCACAGCCATTTAAGAGTTGCATCTCCAAGATGAACATCCTCAACATTCACATTTAGCATGTCCATCTTGCGGGGGATATTAGATTATATTAATTATGTATTTTTTACATCTTTTTATTACTTTACAAAAAGGTCCTTGGAGTTTAAATATATTCAATATTTGTCATAGTATATATATTAGTTTTAGGGTTTGAGACTTCAATTTTTCTTTTTACACGCTCTTTGTATTCTCTCTTTCTAAACACAGAAGAATCTTTCTTCTTCAAGTTCTGTAATCTTTCTTATCAATGAAAATCATGTATTGTTTTTAGTTTTATTATCAATCAATATTATTATGTACTCGAAGCGTAGTTTTCTATATAAGATAAATAGTTATGTTTTCAACTTTGAAACAAGAATATTGATGACCACCCTAGACAATTATATTTTCATAATATTTTAATAGTTTTTAAATTTGAAATATTATATTTAACACACAACACAACTAAAATATAATATTTTATAATACAAAATTTTATTTAAATTAAATAAAATATGACAGATCAATCAATAATCAGCTAAACCTTATATACAATAATTTTTATAGTTTTCTATATAGTTACCTATGCTAGTCCATTTATTTTTATATACAAAAATTTGTACATTTTTCATGTTCCTTGTGCTATTCCATTTATTTTTCCAGAAGAAGAATAAGGAAAAATTAAAATGAATTAAATGGATAATGAGGAAACCTTGAGACCCCCCACAACAAGCCAGCCAATGTGGGACTGTTTTAACTTTTTAACCTTTTATATTTTCCACATCCCGAAAGACGTGGCTAGAATAGCTGGTCGCCTTCAACAAACAATAAAAACATAAAAAACAAATAAATAAATAAAATGTAAAAAATTACACTTCCAAACTAGTGATAATAATTTTCATTCTCTAAAAAATAAACATCTTAATTTCAAGAATTAATAAGTCAAAATACTCTCACAAGTCACAACTCTTTCCCAAAAAATAAAATAAATAAATAATGAAAAAAGGTCAAGGAGGCTCACAAATTCACGTCCATTCACAACAATCTTGATTTTCCAACGTTTCATTTTGTTTTTTTCCAGAGTACACAAAAAAAATTACACATTGGAAATCCAAAAAAATTACCACATTTAATGAGGGCCCTAGACATAATAATTATTATAACAATTTTTGGCAAAAGCTTGTTATGAATGAATGTCATCGCCGGCGAATCCCAAAAGGGCCGATGAGACTATGACTACAGCCATCGGCGGCAGCCAAACAACCTCGCCGGAGAATTCTGTCAGAGGTGATAAGAAAAAGAAGGTAAAATTTCCTTCCCATTTTTTCTCATTATTATAAATCGAAATCTTTTTTATGATTATTATTATTGTAAAATGTGACATATATAAGTAATTTAAGTTTCTAATGATTTTTTTTGGTCTTGCATGTAAATCAATAGTTCACCATACCAAAGATCTTTATTTCCAAGAAAAACAGCTCTGAAGAGGATGTTCTTCAATCAGACGGGAATAAAAAAGGCATAATTTTTTTCTTCCTATTTTTTTTTTATTGAATAAAAAAATGAAATAATTTTATTAGGTGAACCAAAAAATAAATAAATTGTGTTATTTGCAGAATTTGACAAGAATACTATATCTACAAGAAAGGTTTTTTTGGAGGCATCTACCAACGTCGGAAGAAACTTCTCAGGTGACAATCATCAGATATTTTTAAATAAATTAATTGCAAAATATTCCAAATTATTTTATGCAACTCATCATCATCAGGTGATAAGAAAACAAAGAAAAAAAAAATCATTTATGATAATAAATAATATATATACATATCCATAGATATTTTTCTATAACAGCCTTTTCATGAGTTGGCTAGCTATGCATTCTCGTATCTAACTGCAAAATTTTCTATCTTATCTCGAACAAAAAGGTCAGCTCTTATAGATGCTACACGAAAACACCTTCGCGCCAAGTGTTAAACTTAAACCGGTCGAAAAATCGTATATGAAGCTTAGTGTATATTTGTATTTTCACTACTTTGGTAGCTCACCTAACACAAAGGCTAAAGTTCATACACATGATAGTTAATTTGCAAAAAGTATTCATTGCATGTGTTGATAATTAAGGTAAGTAAAATTAATCATTGATTGTAAGTGGAAGCACCATTTTTCTATTCTATGTATTTGACCTAGATAGCTATGTGTCCTTCACATAGAATTAGAAAAATTATTATGTGTATATATGGTTCAAAATTTTGATTAGGACATTGCAAAAATTATATAAAAAGGCTAGCCATGATAACTAATGTATAGTTTCTTTTTTCTCTATCAGAAAGGCACACGAGCAACGGGATCGAAAGCCTAAACCTATCAAGCTTCGATCTACCAATGGCGCCGGCCACAATCGTGCAAGACATCCGGTACAAAAAATCTATCTATAGATTAATCGGTTGTGACTTATAATCGTTTTACCTCTTTATATTTATCAAACCTCACAAAAAGTGTTGCAAAATTGTAGGGTTTTCGTGGCTACATGGAATGTAGGTGGGAATACTCCAAACCACGAACTCAATCTCGAAGATTTCTTGCAAGTCGAGGGTTCTGCAGACATATACGTGCTCGGGTAAGTTTCATGTATGAACACGAACATAAAACGCATATAATATACCATTCTACATACCGAAAATCCTTTGAGAGCTTACTTACATAACTAGGTTTACCCTATAGTTTTGTGATATCGTAACTAAATTTCGAATTCCTAAAGAAAACGTACTAAAACATTCGACTAGTTAATTAATCGACTACATATACATTTATCTACATATCTCGTTTATTTAATTATCAGGTTCCAGGAGATCGTACCATTAAGCGCGGGTAACGTTTTAGTCTCCGAGGATAACGAGCCGGCCTCAAAATGGCTAGCGCTCATAAGCCACGCGCTCAACAAACCATACCACGAATATATCCACTCATCGTCGGCCCAAAACCCGAGCACAAACTCCAAAACCACAACAAACGGGTCCAAGGACTCGAAATCGAACCACATTTTCCACAAGCCGTCGCTAAAAGCACTCAACAAGAATCTCAAGGGAGATAGCGAACTCCTCAAGAATTGCAATTGTTGTAAGACTAAGAACCCCTCGTTTTCGCATCGACGGGCGAGAAACTTGAGAGGGCCCCACTTGAGCTTTAGCGACCCGAGCATGCACGAGTTTTTTGCGATAGCGGAGATTGATTTGCCGACGAGGCTCAACTATCAGCTAGTGGCGAGCAAGCAAATGGTCGGGATTTTCTTGTCCGTGTGGGCCCGGTCGGGCCTAGTGAAGGATATCGGGCACCTCAGTGTCTCCTGCATGGGGAGGGGAATCATGGGATGCCTTGGAAATAAGGTTTGGTTCTCTCTCATATGACTTATATATATGTGTGTGTGTGTTCTTCCTTAGTTTGGATTAGTTCTTGCCCAAAACAAGAATTAGCATCCATATATCTATGAGAAAAAAATTGAAAATGTGTGATTCATAACATTAGTTTTGAGTGATGAATATGAGTGAAAACAAGAATTAGCATCCATATATCTATGAGAAAAAAATTGAAAATGTGTGATTCATAACCTTAGTTTTGAGTGATGAATATGAGTGAAATATGAGGAAAAAGATAAACATATGTGCCGTAACTTAGATACGGATGACAAACACTACAAAAAAAATGAGGCAATTCTAATGGAATAGTTCGAACGAAAATATATTTCAACGAAAATATTAATGGATATTTCAATGTTATTATTTCCATTAGAATTTTTCAATAGATTGCAACGAAAATTTCAACAAAAATATTTTCGTTGGGATTTTGATTGGATTTTAACGATTCAAACAGTAAATTTTCCAACAGTTGAAATATGGGTGGAAATAAAAATTCAAAGAAAATTTCTTCGGTAAAAATCCATTGGAAAAACAATCGTCAGAATAATCAAATTTCATCTGAAATTCCAACAGAAAATTCATTCCAGCAGAATATTTTTTTTGAATCATTTCAACAGAAATTATATAATTGAAATTTCCATTGGAATATATTTGATAAGATTTTTCGTTGAAATATAACAAATTTTTTGTAGTGAAATTTGTTGAATAACTTTTATAACTGCAGAAAATATCCACTAACCAATAACAATCGAACAAACGAAATGTCGAAAACACAAAACTCATACAAAAATTAAGTACTGCTAACTAATTGAAAGAAGTAAACAATACTCATACAAAAATTATACTAACTAATTGCAAAAATTTGTCGACTAACTCATTTTTTGATCTAGGTGAATTAATGTTCGCCATATGGTATTAGTTTACATGTTCGAAATTGCTGTTTTTTCCTTGAAATATCATTGTAGTATTCAAACGTTTCACCATTTAATTTGCAATTTGTTTCTATTTTCAAATGGTAATGTTAAAGATAAAAGTATATATACCTATATATATATATGTAGGGTTGTATATCGATGAGCATGACGGTGCACCAAACGAGCTTTTGCTTCGTGTGCAGCCACCTGGCGTCCGGCCAAAAGGAAGGAGACGAGCTCAGGAGAAATTCTGACGTGGCAGAAATCTTGAAAGGCATCCAATTTCCTCGACTTTGCAACAACCCGACCCGCCGGGTCCCCGAACGAATAATCCATCATGAGTAAGTCAAGTTAAAATATAATTAATACGACTAAAATTTGATTACATCACAAATTCATTAATAAAAATGATTATTGAACTATAAAATAACATATTTTATGCTAAAATGGGAAAATGTTTCAGCCGTGTGATTTGGCTAGGGGACTTGAATTATCGAGTAGGATTGAGCTATGAAGAGGCAAGGATATTGTTGGAGGATAACGATTGGGACTCTCTCTTGGAGAAAGATCAGGTTGGTGGATTAATTAATTTAATTTTCGTTGAGAATTGGACTAATTTAGAGGCTTTACAAGTCAAAACATACCTAATTAATTATATGGGTACCGACCCGAACTTGAAAACTCATTAACTAATAAATTTTGTCGATGTAGAAAAGATTCGTTAACTAGTTCACATTTTGTTCGAACATTGTGATTTAGTTGTTAAAAAAATTAATTAATTAATTAGTGATTAGTTTTTAATCAATTATTTACATTTTTAAGCATATAATGGTCGATTTTATTATTATTATTATTATTATTTAAATGGGCATTTGTTGAGATCGTAAATATTATGGGCAAAATAATTACATGCGCCCCTTACTTACGAGCATGTTTTTATTATTTTTTCTTTATTGAACCAAAATCGAACTTAATTTATCATACATGTTGATGTATTATGAGTTTGTTCTAACTAATAATTTAGAAAATTACATAAAGACTCCTATTTACTTGTCTAACCATCCTTTCTTAACGAGTCGATTTTATTAACTAAGTGAGCTCAAATTCTACTAATTCTCATTTTTCTGGGCTAAACTCTTAACAAGTCAAGTCCACAAATACCTTAATTATAACAGCACAACACCTGTTCCTAGTGCCAAAATAAAATCACGAGAGATAAAATATTATTTTCATATATAATTATTATTATTAATTAATAATAATTGAACGGATAAATATTGTTTGACCATGAGCACAGCTGAACAAGGAAAGAGAAGCAGGAAGAGTATTTATTGGGTGGAGCGAAGGCAAGATTGTGTTCGCGCCCACATACAAGTATTCCCACAATTCTGATTCATATGCTGGTGAGACCACCAAGTCCAAGAAGAAACGGAGGACCCCTGCATGGTATTTAATTATTACTTCCTCTATTTATAGACTACCTCTCATTTTTATATTTTTTATTCATTCAATAATAAATATTTCTAAATATACACTAAGATAACTCCAAACTAAAGCTCCCCATGAAATAATTAATGGGCAATTTCAAGATTCACACAAGAGAAAGGTTTCTTACAATAATTCTTGATATAAATTGGCTGCCTAACTATTAGACGAGTCGATCAGTTATACACTACCATTGATGCCATACTTTCATTTACGTGGTTTTTAGGTGCGATAGAATTTTATGGCGTGGAGGTGGCATCGAGCAACTATCATACATACGTGGGGAATCGAGATTTTCGGATCATAGGCCCGTTTGTGCGGTTTTTGCAGTTGAAGTGGAGAAGATGGCAAAATTTAGAAAGGGTTATTCTTGTGCCGGCACAAGACTTGAATTCGAGGAGGAGTACTACATACCACAAAGGCATAGTTTTTGCGACTTTTAGCTCTATAGATTCTAGCGACAAAAAAGCCGAGCAATAGTATTGATTGTAGTTGTGCTTTTAGTCACTTATTCCGAATAGCCCTCAACAAAACACATCAGATTTATAACATGAGCATGCATCGATGGGTGGGTTAAGTCAACTTAATTAGAAACAAAAAAAATTTATCTCCATATGATACATATGAAGCACACAAATATGCATATATATAATAAGTCTGAGGTCTGCGCATAAGCAATGTAATTATAGTTTACGGCTCGTTTGGCGAGGAGGAAGGAAATTTTTTGATATAGCTTGAAAAGATGAGCTGTACACATTTATATCACAAGCTTCGAAAAATAAGAAATCTACATTCAATATTATTCATCAATCAATCGCATCTCACAAGTAGAAAAAATTGAGATATGAGGAGGCAATCAAAATACAAGTTTAAAGAAAGAAGCAAAACTAACACAATTAAAATTAATCATTAGCGGTAGCCAGCTGGAGAGAGAGCAATTCCTCCTCTGGTATAATTTTGACGCGGCAGTCGGACCTCGGGTACGACGCGCACATCAGCGCGTACCCACTCTCGATGACGTCATCGCTCAGCATACCCTCGCTCTGGTCCACCTTCCCGGAGAGCAGCTGGGCCGGGCACGTCATGCACACGCCCAGCTTGCAGTCGTGGGGAATTTCAAGCCCCGCCTCCAGCGCCTTTGACAGGATCGTCTCGTCCGGTTCCACCTCCAGCTCCGTCGACCCGCCGTCGTGCTCGACCACCACCCTGTAGGCGCGGACGGCCGTCGACCGGTGGCGGATTGTGGTCGGATGGGATTGCGGCTTTAGATCAAGAGATTGGAATTGAGTTTGAATGAGGGTTTTATATCTGTTGAAATTGAGAGGAAGAGTAAGATGAAGAGATGCCATTTTAGGGCGATTGGAGGTGCAGGAGAGGATAAGGTATTTTTCGTGGTTTATAAATTGGACTTGTGTTGTGGGTGTGTTTTACATTTTCATTTTTACCTTTTTTTTTTTTGTTCCTGTGAAAAAATGCTGACCCGGCCTACTCTTATTATTATAATATTATTTTTATCAAGGAGGTTGTAAATGATAAAGCACACAATTTACGAGAATGAGGACGAATTAACTTTCTTTATTATTATTGTTATTATTATTATTGCTTCAAAAAAATAGTTTAGGCGGTCTTGATTATGAAAGATTATGAAACTAAAATAATAATTTTAAAATTAGTGAAATAACAAACTAAGATGTATTCGTTTTAACAATCCTCGTACAGTTAATTTGGACTTTTAGATATTAACAGAAGTCTAGAGATACCTAATTGAGATTTTAGAAATCTTAGAGTACCTTGTAAAACTTTTAAAATTTAGATATATTTATTTTCGATTTCAGAATGTTTTAGAAAGTCTCCGAACATTTCTTTAGATAAAAAATATTTAATTTGTTTACCGTTGAGATTATTTGGCTTTCAAAAAGTTTTACAAAGTTAAAAAAATCAACATATTATTTTTATGGTACCGACTTACTTATATAACTAAGATTTTAAATTGTTGTAAATAATTAGTAACAAATTAATTCCATTATTCGATATATAGATCTAAAATTATAGTGAATATAATTAAAAAATAACAAATAAATAGTAGTATATAATACATGTAAGCGTGTTACATGCACGTAGAATTAGCCCTATGAATAGTGTTTAGAGATGAGTAGTACTAAAACAGAGGCCATAAGTTTTTTTGTACTAAAACAGAGGCCATAAGTTTTTTTCGGAATGAAAGTGTAGAAAAGAACATTGATATATTTCAAATTTCCATATTAATTTTCACATACACTAGACTTTTAAATTCGCATTATACTTATGTATAATATATACTCCTTCCTATTTTTTTTAAATGTCATTTTGGCTTTGTTAACAATTTACTAAATAAATGTCTTTTTAGATCTTTTATACATATTTTTCCATTATTACCCTCATCTAGCTAATAAATACTCTTTTCATATTCACTCTTCATCTTGTCTAATTATATTTTTAAATTATTTTTGAATAATTAAAGGTCATTAGATAAATGATGGGGAGGCAAATCCAAATTTGGTGAATATGTGTGCGAAATATGATTAAAATTAAAACAAAATATATATAAATTAAAAAAATCATATCTAAAAAAGTTCACAATATTTGGTTTAAGTTCACAAAATGTATGTGAATATTGAAAGTGGTACAATATATGCGGATGTTGAGATCTCTTATTTGAGAAACAATTCATACACATGAACTCTTATTTCGAGAAATAGAGAGGACGAGAGAAATAGAGAGAACCAATGTTGAAGAGGACTTAAAGTTGAATTCTTGTAAGTTCTATATGCAATTTAATTAATATGTTCGTTAAATTTCTTAAATGTGGCATGGTACTGCACTGCAGTCTGCAATGAAACTAAAGAAAAAGCAACATCTTTTATAATATAAATGGAAAGGAAAAAAAAAGTGCAAAATTCTGAAGTGGAACACTTCAAAATCTGGACAAGTCCACAACAAAGCATCAAGGCACCCTATCAGAAAGGTGAAAGATGAGTGACTAAACTGCCTAAAATGACGATAAGCTCTCGGGAAACATTTTTCTAAAACTTCACTTGTCTCAAACAAAAAAGTGGTACATTTATTTTGTGTCTTGGAGCATAAACGTTAATCGGCATACAAACTAGCTGGTCAAGAAAAACAACTAACTTGTTGCTGTGGTGTTCAGCTTCAACTCAACCTTCCGCAAGAGGAAATCCCATCGTAATCTTCCATACACATAAAATTTCATCATAAAAAATCGTACATAAAAATCAAATTATCTCATCGTACTCTCAAATCCCAACAGAAGAGTATGAAACCGGAAAACTAACTCAGATACCAAAGAATATCATATTGATGGCTTCAATTTCACTAACCGATTTACAAAATGGCTTCAACTTCTTATTGTTCTGACATGCATGAAAAGTGGCATAATTTTGAGTAATCATACTGCAAAAAAGGCACTAATTCAAGTAATATTGCTTTTGCACGTAACAAATTATGTTTTTATTTGTAAGGTGTACTTAGAGATGAATGCACTTAGAACATCTTCAAATCTGTACTAGTGCTGTAGCATTTTAATCTCATTCTATTGTTGAAATACAAGAGATTCCTGGGTGAGCCTACATTTCCAATCTCATCAACGCAATTTAAAAAATGCAGATGTAGAGAAACCTACTTAAATGCACTTTTAACAACTATGTCAAGAGCCACTATTAAAAGACAATTGGATATAGATATTTTTGGGAAAAGTTTGTTTCAGCTGAACAAGAGAGATGGAAAGGTAGACAAAAAAATTTGGCCGAATAAAAAAATGTAATGATTAAAGTTGATTTAATATAAAAATTGTAAAATATTGTTTGGTAATGACTGGTGCTTAGAAATAGTTGAGTGGGTAAATAGGTTTTTTTTTTTAGTACTTCATTGATTTTAATTTTAAATTGTGTTGATGAGATTGGAAAGAAAAAAGTGAGATGGAATGAATACAGTATTTTCTGAAAAAGCTTTGTAGCCAATCACAATCTAATGGAAAAATAATTTCTCCAGATATCCAATAGCCACCTAAATAACATATAAAAGAAAAAATAAAACTTACTAAAACATACGTTCAGCTCGCTAACGGATTCCAAGCCTAGCTATAACTCATATCTACACATTCGTTTCTAACAAGCCCTTAATCCATGTGTTTCCCATTGGAGATTAACTAACATCCTGTGTAACTTTTTGAGGTTGCAAGAATCAGGACAGTTATTGGAAAAATAAAACATGTCAAATATTTGAGATAGTAGTTATCAGATCAAGTGCATAACCTAAAACAAGATGATTGCAAAATTTCTGGGTTTTCAGTTTTCACAAGTTCTAACTTCTAACACCTACCGATTAACATTCTTTCTTATTAATAATCATCAGCAAACATAAAACAAAAGGGAAAGGGACAAATCTATCATTTAGGTGGAACGGGCACCCATATAGGGGAAAAGCCATACAATATATAGAATCTGGAAATTTTAACATAAGAAAGCATAGAACACATCTGTATGATGAACATATAAAAGCATTACAAAGTAACATATGCACACATCAAGGCATGAGGACAAAAGGAAACCACAATAAATGCATGATGGTCCATATTGTTACTTGCTTCCCAAGCAGTATAAGAAAACATGAGATATAAAATCAAGCAACCAGAGATCTCATGTCCAGTGAAACTGATAAGAGGATGGAAAGTTCGTTGAACTTTCAAATGCTAAACGGTGTAGCAAAAATCATCCAAGAAGAAAACTAAACAAACTTTTATAGTTCAGGAAGTAAATTTTCATAGCGCACTAATGAGGATAAAATTAACACAAACAAGCAATCTATGGTATGGCCATTGAACGTAAAAAATAAAATTATAACCAAATTTACAACTGATTAACGAATGGTGGCAAAATTTATAAATAAAAAGTTTGAGTTATGAAAATCCATAGCTTCTCTGTTGCTCTAGCTAATATACATGAATAAACTATACTTTACTTCCACCACCACCCACGAAATTATCCACAACTATTTTCCTTCTTTCATCCGAAAACAATCTCGATTTTGCTTCCTTCAAGTAAGATTTTACCATACAACATTCGGTTGTTTCTTTCAATTAAATCAAAAGATAACTTGATTGTTGATTCCATAATATACACAGTCAAAAAGTCATATATAAGACACGAGTGAAATCATATTGCAGAAGAGCTACTACTTAAGCAGTATCGTAATGAGACCCCAAAAAAAAAAAAAGATTTGCTAACACAAAACTGCATCTGAGGTTTCACATGCCATATTCCAATGCAAGAAAAATCACAAGACCCTGTATTACCAATTCATCATCAGCTAAAGAAAACCACAAACAACCCCATACAATTAAGCAAAGACAAAACTATCAACGGCCTCACCTTTAGCTCCACTTACAGCAGTGCTCCATCTAACATTTGCCATTATACTTATTCCTGGACCAGTCCTTTTGCTGCTGCACCATGTTGTTATACTGCTGCTGGTAATGATTATTATACGAGTGGGCTGATTCGTATCCATGAAACCCATGTCCGTTTGCCGCCATTGGCATCATTTGCGGTGGTGGCAGAGGATAAGGCATCGGAATCATCGGCATCCCCACATGATTACTACTCCCATGGCTTCCATTAACAATCACATTACTGTGGCTGGGCCCACCGCAAGAAGACGACTCGTTGAAGCTCTGTGGCGGCACAGGCGTGGAGGCGAACAAATGATCGGAGGGTGATGGGCCCTCGGTGGACAAACCCTGCATTCTCTTCACATAGAGCCTGTACTTCTGCAAGTGGCTCGCCACATTCTCACGGGTCAAACCCTCGACGTTCATCAGCTGCATAATCGTCTTGGGCACGGCTTTGTTCAGACCCAGGTGGGCCACCACCTCCACGAAGCGCTTGTGCAGCTGCGGGGTCCACACGAGCCGCGGCCTTTTCAGCGTCTTCGCGGCCTGGTCGTCCGCTGAGCTGTCGGGGTCGTCGCCTAATCCGGGTGGTTCCACCGTTCTTCGGGTCTTCTTCGGGTCGGATCCTTCATCCTGACCCGCCTCGTCCGCACCGACGGTGGCGGCGGCTCGGAGGGAAGAAAGGGTGCTCTCGGAGGCGCGCCTGACGTCGAACGCCGTCCTGGAGGGCTCCGGAGAGATTTTGAACGCCGACGCCAGCTCGGCGGGAATCAGCGACTGGGAGAGGGGCGTCAGGTCGTCGGAGGAGGGGAGGCCCGCCTCCCACTCGGCGACGCCGTCGTCGATCTTGGATTCCTCGCCCATGGGATTTCACAAAATCGGAATTCAAATATCAATTTTGAAGGATTCAATTTAGGGATTGGAACTTGAGATGGATTAGGGACGGTGAAATGTGGATTGAAAAAGGAGGTCGGAGAAGGTAAGAGGGCGGTGGATGGAAAATATAAATAAGAAATGTTTGGGTGGAAAAAGTGCGAATTTGAGATTCCGGAAAGGGTGCCACGCTGGACGCTTTAGGCAGATATTTTGATCTGCTAAATATCTATCCAGCTGGATGTAAGGTTGGGATTGAATTATGGTGAAATTAGGTTTTCATCTCCGTTATTTTTAATTTATTTTTATTTTTTTGAAATTTATTTAACCTATTCTGTTATTAAGTTTGTCATATAAAATTTCACAATTGATAAATTATCTACAAAGTATACGAAATTGACAATTTATCTTGTACAATTAGAAACTCTAACATGTACAAAAAAAAGTTTAATTCAATTGACAATGAATTTCTATAGATTTTTAAATTCATTAAGAACTTTTGAAGCCAAGATGAGTACACGGGTTGTATGATGATTTCTGACATTTATTTCTCGATGTGCATAGCAAAAAAAATTCAAAATGTGTCATTGAAACTTATATAAGATTATTTTTTTAACGAGTTAGATCTTATGATAATTCAATGATTGAATTCTAATCAACAGTCAAATAAAGTAATAAGACCATCTCCAACTATATTTTTACTAACCAAAATCTCACAGTTAAATTTTCATAAGACATATCCCATGAAAAAACTCATCATGTAAGCTTTCAAATCATACATTCCAATAACAAATTAAAATAATATTTTAAAAGTTAATTTAGTGACCAAAAAGTGAATTTAGAGACCAAAAGTGAGTTAATCAGTTAAATAGGTGGCAAAAGTGAATTTCCCTTTCCTTATTACAAAAATAAAGTTAAAATACAAGTAAACCATCTCCAAACTGTAGGCACGCAGAATGTGAATTGTGAAAGGATTAGGAAGCTGCACACAGCCACACATGGCTGCATTATCTTCATCTTTCTCTTCACCACCTGCAATTCTCAAGAAACCTGAACCTTTCCACAAGGCCTGGAACTCAACTTCTCCGCCGTACGGCCCGTCACTCGTACTCCGATCCTCACAAATTTCAAGATCTCTTTATCTCTACTCACCGGAAGACGAGGTTCGGCCTAAAACCGCCAAATTATGGGAACTCCCCGCTAAAAATGGAATCTTTTCGCTTTCAGAAACGAGCCCAGCTGAAATTCCCGGAGAAATTGTTTCCACAAGAGACGACGGCGTTTCAATAGTCATATCAGCCCTTCTTTTTGTTGCCTTTGCTGGTTTATCCATTCTCACCATAGGGGTCATTTTCTTCTTTCCCTTTCTTGTTTGTTTTTAGGGTGACGTTCAATTCATTTGCATTCGTGGGCTAATTGCCGAGTGTTCACAAAAAGCTGCGAGCTTGTTTGGGAATGGTGTGTTTTGTTGCTTTTAGCTCATGAATGTTTGTTGAATTTCCAGGTTATCTACATAGCTGTGGCAGACTTCTTGCAGAAAAGGGAGAACGAAAAATTTGAGAAAGAAGAGGCATCCAAGAAGAAGAGAGGTGGGAAAAAGGGGAAAGTGAGAGCTCGGGCTCGGGCCGGGCCAAGAGGGTTTGGTTGGAAAATAGAGAAAGATGATTATGTGGATGAGGCAAACTGATTGGAGTCTATGTTTATGGGAAAATTTGTGTGCATTGCACTGCAGTGAGTTTTGTTCTTTCTTTTGAGTTGTTCATGTTCTTGGCTGGTGAAAATAGTTCCAATTGTGTGTAGGTAACAGTTCTGAAGTTGCTTTAATGAGAAATGCTTTCAAGTCTTATTCCTCCCTTTGATGCTTTGGGAGTTAATGACATCTAAAGTTTTGGACTATTTCGCTTAATTTGTATGGAGATTTCATTTTCGAGGATAGCCGGTTATACAATGAAGCTATTTGTGAAGATTATGTACTGAGTTTTGGAAATTCAAGAGCTATATATAGTGATATACTCCTTGATCATAGTATACCACATTAATCTCATGATATGTTTTTTCGTTTAAGGCTATTTTTGATAACATTAACTGATAAGCTAGATAAGCTAGCTGATTGCTAATAAATTAGCTTATAGTTTGCAAGTAATTTTCAAACTTATAGCTGAAAAGCTAACTTATATAATAAGTGTTTGATAAATTTAGTTGATAAACTAACTCAAATAAAAATTTCAACGAACTTATTTGAGCTACCCAAAGAAGCTTATGAGATAAACTCGAGTTTTTTAAAAAAACTCAGTCTTACCAAACAACCAAACAAAATTTATTTGAATACATTGAATACAAGAAATTTATAAGTTAACTTATTTGTCTACCAAGATATGATAATGAGATAGGTGGGAAAGTACAACTTGGTTTGAATCCTCATTCTAGCAAAAATAACTATCATGTTAGAACCTCTATACAATTCATCTTCCATAGTTTGAAAACATTCAGAGAAAATGCATTGTGGCCAAGTAAGAAAAATGAGATATATATATATCAAATGCATACATGACACCATATCCCGCGGCCTCGCCTAGAGAACCATTTCTCCACATGACATGAAAATCCATCCATCATTTTTGTACAGTCACTCGGCATAGCATAAAACCTACCTCAGCCTTAAAACTTATATTACACCCTCATCACTTTTGCATCAGGAAGATTTTCGGCCTCTCAGCCTCAAAAGCTTACTACTCTCTCTATGTATAAACTTGACAACTACACAATGTACAGGTTTTTTCAGTACAGGCAACCATTTTATTTGCAACCAAAGAGAAAAAGTCTGAGAAAGAAAGAGAATAAAGAGAGGTAGCCCAAACTAGCCTCAGTTAGCTGTACAACTTTCTTTCGTCCCTACAGCAAAGCAGATCTATGCAGCAGATTGTTGAGCCTGAGCAGCAATTCTCCTTTCTGTCAACAAATATTTAAAGAGGAACAAAAAAAGTTTTAATCGCTTAGAGAAAAAAAAAAGTCAAAATAAGTCGAGATGTGTGTATACATACCCCCAGCAGCCACGAGTTTCTCTACACGAGCTACTATATGCTTTCCATAAGTGTACTTCTTCAGTGCATTCAAATGAACCTTGATTCTCGACATAATAAGCTCACGTTGCGAATCACTACAGGTCTCGAGCACTTTTTGTACTACGTAATTTGCAAATTGATCTTTCATCATAGCCTGGTTAGTTGAAAGAAAAAAGATTTAGACAAATATAAATTACGGCACATCCAATTGAGTAGAAATCTCCATTTACGGTATTATTCTAGATGAAATTCTGAAAATGCATCTTAATAATCAGTAAGTGATAATCATAGACCATAGTAGATAAGACTTGTAATGTTTACATTCCTAACATGTGATCAATAGATAAAAAAAACCTGAAGAGGCTCATTCTCATCAGTTGTGCCAAGCATCTCGTTCACTAAAAGTTGCCGTTCACTTGGATCGCCAAAAGTTAAGCATTTCTCAACAACATTCGAAGCAAACTTTTGCTGGCTCATCTGAACAATCTTTCCAGCTAATTCCTGAATTATGGCAGTTCGCTCGTGCGGCTTCCCGTGCTCCAGAACGTGCTATAGTAAAATTTTTACATGAGAATACACATTAAAGAAAGCTTCATAATAGGGGCAATAGAGTCTAATGCTTGATTGTTAACATATTATATAACTATCTAGGGAGGATGCAGCTTTTTTTTAAATCAAGAAATGATACTTTCGCGAACTATAACTTTCACAATTCACTTTTAGTACAGAAAAAGAAAAAAAAAAAAAAGGTATAAATTCACGATAAAAATTAATATGCACCTTATTATTTTGGAAAAAAAGACAAATAGACAGAAAAAGGCAAACAATTGTCAATATCCAACGGAAAAGGAGCAACTGTAGTTAAGAAACAATGGCCAAGCACTAAACACGATATGCAAAAACAACGTCCAGTTTTGTTATTCTAAAATAGAAATTAAACAAATAATAATTTAAAATAGAAACATGCGAATCAAATCACGTACAAACTAGACTTCATTATGAAAAAAATAATAGTTACACGATACAAACCTGAACAACATAGTTTCCATACTGATCTTGTGCCAACATGCTAACAGCGCCCAAAATCTCTTCCATCACTTTGCTCTGAGTTTTTTCATCCCTACAGTGCTCAAGAACTCGCTGCCAAATTGAATGTACAATTTTAATTTCTAACCAGTGAAACTATCAAATAATAAGTTATATGTACAATTTAATTTCTAACCTGGATCACTCGACAGCCATATGGATGAGTAGAGAGAGTCACAACTTGGTCAAAAAACGTAGTAACAATGAACTGAATATTATCTTCAGGAACACACTCGATGCATTTCTGAATAACATGATTCCCATTTTGATCACGAACACAGCGCATAACATGCCCGTCGAGCTCTTCGACCATTTTGATCTTCTGATCCACATCAACAACTTCAATAGCCTAACATAAAAAGACAGCATTTTTATCGTTCAAATAGCTAGAAACATTTCCATCATTTAGGGCGTGCTTGTTTATAAATAAATCCACTCAAAATGATTTTTTTATTAATTAGGGTTAATTTAAAAAAAAAAAGTTGGATGGTTAGTTGTTAGTAGGATTTGATTTAATATTTAAAATAAAATAAAATAATTAAAGTTGATTCGATGTAAAAGTATAAGAGAAATGATGTGAAGTGATAGTTAAAATTATGTGATTAGATGATAGTGAAAAAGTTGATGTGATGGTTAAGAATGATTTGTTTGTACTATTTAATTATATTGAGAATGGTGGGATTGGATTAAAGTTGAGTTAGATTATGAGTATGAATTGAATGTGAATGAATTATTCTGTCAACAAACATGCTCTTAATTTCACCAAATTTGACCAATCCTATAAAGATTGCAATAATGACAAATGACTTTATGATATCAAATATTAGGCATTTTCCAGCACACGGTAACTTACGTTAGATCTTTGGATATTTTTCTTTTTGTTACAACAGAATTTTGAAAATCTAAGGCTAATGTTACCTTCTGAATCACCCTGCAACCATACATCTGGAGGCTTAGGTTAAGCACATGTCCGAAGAGCTTCCCAGCCAATTCTCTTCTTTGAGCCACCATTCCATGTTCAAAGAACTGAAGAGACAATATTAACACCAAACCAAATATATAGAGACTAAAGTAGAGCCTTAAAAGTTTCGAACGAAGTATATAACAAGAATCATATAGATTCTGATACTACCTTTTGGATCACATAATTACCAAACACATCTGTCATTAATGCAAGAGCCTGAGGAAATATTTCCTGGAAAACCATGTTCTTCTCTTCCGTTGTGGCCGTTTCAAGCTTTTGTTGAATAAATCGACTTCCATATTGATCAGCACTAGTTACAGTTTAAAAAATTCTCACAAGTCAGGTATATCAATCTTAAATTATAATATAATACGCGGCTCTATGAAAGTAAAAAAATAAAAAAATACCTAAACTCAACGACATGGCCAGTAATCTCCGAGAGTTCAAAACATTTGGTTTTATTGCTCTTGAACTCCTCAAGCAGTGAAGAAGCGAAACTGTTCTCCATGCTATCCAAATGCCACGGACCAATAACGCTCCCAGTCCCAGCCACATTTCTCATACCACCAGGGAATCTCATATTGAAGTCCCCATGCCTCAACGGGCTACCGGGCCCACCACCCGAACCCTGCATAACCGGGCTCCCCGGATAAGATAATCCAATCCCAAATGCGGGATTCGCATAGTAACCATGAGGACTCGATGACCCTGTCTTTCCACCCAAAGGCACACCATACTGTGATTTCTGAGGAGAGGATAGTAAATTACCGATATAAGCTTTATGAATCAGGTCCATGTACGAATTACCCATATAATTTCTATCAATCGAAGGATCATTAAGAGCCGCAACTTGAGCTGCTGCAGCATATTCAGCCGTCCTCAAGTACTGCAAATATAAAGGGTCCACATAGGGAGTGTGTTGATTTCCAATTCTACCGAGATTATGCTCGGCTGCAGCAGCCCCGAGATTCGAGCCACCCAAAATCCTCGAGTCCATTCCTGGCACACCCATAGCAGAAGCAGCATTCTCGAATAAAGGTGGCAAATTCGAGCTGCCGAGTTGACTCGATATTGGGCTCATCGGGTACCCCCCGCCAAATCCATAATTCGAGAAGGATGAGTTGTTTGGGCTGTCCAAATGCTGATACTGAAAGTGCGTGCCACCATTAGAAGATCCCTTGAGGTACAAGTTCTTAGACGGGACGCCGTTTTTCTGCAGCTCTGCTTGTAAAAGAACATTATTGTTAATGTTATCATTCTTTTTCATAAATGAATGTTGCTGCCTTGAGTTATTATTCTGGCCTCCATGGAGATTATAATAAAGATAATTATTATTACGGTCATTGGCAGCATCTGGATCGACATGAGATGTGAGATGATGATTCTCCTCATTTATGATACCATTTGAGATGTTCATGCCAGACAAGGCAGCAACAAGATCGGCATTTTCATTATTAAATGAGCCAGGACTGTTGATGCTTTTTTTCTCGGGATTTGCTGCTCTGCCTCCACCAATTGGAGTCGGGCAAGGACTGGGAGCTCGAGTGATACGTTGAGGATCGGGAGTTGAGCTTCTTGATAAAGATCCACCCAAAGCAGCAGCATAAGAATATGAAGCGGGTGCAGCAGATGAGTCACGGCGCAAGTTCGCCAGCTCAGCCTCCACCGAACCCAAAGCACTGGCACTGTCATCGAAAGCATTTCGGCTAGCCGGGCGTGAGGGATGTCCGGAGGCTGGAGAAGAACGGTTCAGATCGTCCTGCATATATACATATCAAGCAATTTAAAAGTATAATAACGAAAATGGAACAATCGAGTAAAAAGTAATAAACAAGATTCCATCCGACTTTCTGTTTAAAAAATTATATGATTTGGACAGAAGCCACGTACAACACGATCAGCGAAAAAGCATTTGAATTGGAAATGAAAAGATGAATCTAAACTCCAAGCATCTGGATGTTCCTCATAGATACACGTAGAGATAAATTAACACGACATTGTACCAAGTCGATCGGATAAAGAATAGCAGCTAGGATGTCTATCTCATGCAGCAAATCACAAGAATAAAGTATTTTGGTCAATTCGACAATATAAAAGACAAAGATGCAGCATTTTGCAATATTCCATTTACACTATGAATACCAAACCAATCACAATTTTTGAGGCAAGATTTTTATAACCTTCCGATTCACAAATTAACAAAAATGGCAAACCAATATATTCTAAAATCAAGCTTTTTTCATATAAAATTATGACGCATGTCCAATAAATTGCCTTCTGAACAAGATAAGATATACCAGATTCAGAAACATCGTAAAATAAAATCATGCATACACATGAAACCACACACACAAAAGGAAGAAACCACACATAAATACAAAGGAACATATGCCACCGCGAGTATCTAGAAAACCTGCAACCATTACACATGTCAGATATCAAGTACCAAATTACAACATCGTACTAACCAAATCCCCCAGCAAACAAAAGCATAATCCACAAGTAATTTTAATAAAAAAAAATAATTAAAAAAAAGGCAGCAACCTGAAATATCTCAGCAAGACTCTTCTGCTTGCTACCCAGCCCCAACCCAGGCAACCCAATAAGTCCATCACCACCCCATTCCACAGTACCACCCTGCAATTTGTCCTCATTTTCACTCTCTTGCTTCTTAGAGTTGAACCCGGGTGGCATAGAAAACATTGACCTTCCGCCATTGCCACTGTCATTCCTATTCACCTTCCTCCTATCCCCAATTGCCGAGCTCCCTCCCTGTAACCTCTGAGCAAACCTCCAATCCTCCCTCGAAAGCAGAGGAGGAGGCAGCCTCGGGTTCAGATTGACGTTCGAGTAATAATAAGACAAGTACTTAGGATCAGACCTAAGATCCTCCTCTGACAAGAACCCATTCCCACTTCTATTTCTTGCAAACTCGGCAAAATCCGGGCCAATGCCAACCCCACCATTATTTCCACCTTCAACAGCCCCGTGATTGAACAAACCACCTACAGCACTCAATGAACCCTCTACAGTAGGCGGAGCAGATCCACTCCTATACAAATTCAGTTCCTTTTCGAGTTCATCAGCATCTTGCCTTCTCTGCTCACGCAAGAGCAAACCCATCTCCTTCTCAAACTCATCCCCAAATGAATTATCATTATCCCCAATCATCGGCCTCCTACCCAATTCAGACAACATGATTCTTAACAAAAATAAAATATTCCCAGAGAAAAAAAGACTTGCCAAGTTATTCACAACTGCTCATTCCAGAAAGAGAAAGCAAATGTAATATCGATATTACACGAAGTAATCAAACGTAACAACCCTAGAAAGCTCCCACGACCGAGACTTCAGTAATCCAACACTACCTCCAGACGGAAACCCATTTCAGACAAATATTAAAAATCAAAGCTTTTTTTGAGCTCACAAAAATCCAACCTTTGACCAAAACAAGTTTAGAAGGATCTTATCTCAGTTTATGCAGATGAATAAACCCATCAAACAGATACGATCAGGCACAGAGAGGAAATCCAGTTTCACCACATGCCCAGCGACGCTCGGCCTCAAAGATTGAGTCTTGGCAAAAAATCCATGTCCAAATTTTCAGTGAGCAATCACAGTGTCCATATACAACAAAAGAAAGCTACAGGGGAAAGAGAAAATCAAGCAGAGGTCACAAACGAGGTGGGTTTCAGAGTCTGTGCAAGGAAAACTGAATGAGATAAATAAAAGAGTCACAAGTTATATAAGAGAAACGATCATTTCTGGCGGCGAATGGTTCTTGCTAAGAACCCCCTTTAGGGTTTTGTTTCACAAATATACCACTTTGGCACGAGAGAGAGGTGGAGGGCTTGGTGATAAATACAGTGACTTTAGAATTTATTTAACAATATACATATATATATTTTCTTCCCAAAAAAAGAAAAAAGATTTCCAATTAACTCGTTTTTGTTTTCTGGGGAGAGTGTAATTGTGCCGAACAACAAATTTGTGCCTTAATAATAGGAGACTAATTGACCATTTAATGGATGACCTGACCACCAACTCTTATCCTTTTTGTGCTTTAATTGTTAAAAAAATGGGAAAAGAAAAAGAGAAACTATCAGTAGAATTTGGAAATAAAATATGGTTGCGCAGATAAAGGGATAGAGACAGAAAATTTGAAGCGAGTAAAATGAGTTTGGTAAAGGAAGAATCTATGGGTGACACGTTCAGCCCTTCACATTCGGTGTGGAACTCAGAAACTGCCCCTATGGTTAAGGCACTGCCTAAAAGTGGGCAGGGTCCTTTGCTGTGTACTGTTCAACTTTCTTCTTTAGCAACAAGGGATGACGAATTTGCCCCCGTATGTTATTAACAATTTTTCAAGATATATACATTGCCTTTTTTTTCAGTAGATTGGGCATAAGTGATTGTATTAAGTATAATGTATAGGTGATTTTATTTTTATTAGTAGATTTGGCCACAGATTCAATATGCGGTTTGTGGGGCGCTGGAAGCTTTCATTATATTTATGGATGGAAAATCTTATTGTATTAGTTGATGTGATTGCAGATTCAATTTGTGGTTTGTTAAGTAAGGATTTGGTAATAATATAAATTTATATTTGTTATGTTGTATTGTCTATTTTTTAATAATATTTATTGAAAAATGTTGGTCTTTTGAGCTTTTTTACTAACATTTTTTTTCAAAAAATAATCAAATCAAATACATTGTGTACCATTAGACATGACCATGGCCCGAACCAGTTTCTAATTTTACCCGCACAGTTCTGGTACAAGCATTTACAAATTTTGAACGAATGGTTCGACTTTTTTTAAAATATTATTTATTTTTTTAATTAATGGGATCGGCCAGAAATCGACAGTTCATAATCGGTCCTAATTCGTCGGTTCATTAAACTGGTTTGTAAATGTTCTCTGGATCGTTCAGGACCCTCCAAAACGCGGCTAGGAACTAGTGGTTCCAACCCAAAACCGTTCTGCATGAAATCGGTTTTTGGTCATGTTCATGTACCATATAAGCTAATTTGCACATACTCAGTGACAAAGAAACAAGTCCATATATCTCTATAAAAATTATTGTGTGAGACAGTTTAATTGTTAGGCGAATTGACCCGTTGTAATATTTGGATAAAAATGCATATTTATACTATTAAATGTAATACTTTGTTTATGTTATATTTTAAAATATAGTACTTTCTAATAAAATTATGTAGATTTGTAAAACTAATATCTCTATTGCTTTAGCTGAACGTTTTTTCTTTTGATTTTCTTTATTTGTTTTTTTGGCCAAAATCTCACTTTATTATTTTCATTCTTAGTTGGGATCTTTTTTATTTAATTAGTATAACATGTATGGTTCTGGACAACAAAACAGAATCATAAAAATTTCAAAATTTCAATCATCAGATTTCATGAGAATGGACTCAACCCGCGTTCCATGTTTTTTGAAGGATTTTCTTTATCATATGGCAGATACTACTATTCCGCTTATTGGCAATATCTCTGTTGGCTTGCAATCTAGCCATTATCAAGTGTCTGATTTCTTTAAGCATTTGTATCATTGGCTTCTTCCTTGCTGTTAGAAAAAAGCACTAAAACAATCACACATATTGTTCAGCAAAATATTACACTCTGATTCACTTTTGAAATGTGATTAGACCATTGATGAAGTGGTTTCTTCCCTAAATCTAATCACTCATAAGCTACTTGATCTAAAGTTTTTAACGCATCTATCTTTACAATAAAGACCTCCACCTTCATTGCCTTTATTGCACCCCACAAAGTATTTTCTTTCCTAAGTTGACAACAAAACCTTCCTTCTTCATATTGGTTTGCAAGTGTCTCACACAAAACCTATTTGTAGCTTTTGGGAGTAATTTATCAAAGGTTGGGATCAAAGCCTTTTGTTTGTCACTCATAAATGTCCACTCAATAGGATTAGTTAATCCTACATCCCGTTTCAACAACTTTAGGAGCCACACCCATAAATCATTGTTCTTATTTCTCACATAAGCCACACTAGGCCCAAGACCCCCTCACGTGTTTCTCACATGCCCTGACTCCAACCTTTAAGAGAACACTACCTCTTACAAAAAGGGAAAAAGTCCATTTATGGAATTCCTCTGTTACCTTTTGGGAGGCCTACGCCACATAGAAACTGTCTACCTGTGACCGTCCCTCATCTCGTAGACCCTGACACAAGGTTAGAGTTCTAGCGCTCCTAGAGTAGTATCTCACTAATGGCGTGGCCCCATAGCCACTAGATACTTAAATGTCGAGTATTGCACAAGTGTTTGTTGCTCACTAAAATGCTCGACTGAATCTTATTTTCAGCCTACGGACGCCCCAACTCGACATCCCCCCCTTTATTCGACGCAGTGCACACAAGTGCTCGCGTCCCTCGACACTCGGCACACTAAGGGAATGCGCGCCAAATTCCGACCTCAAAGTTAGGCCTGTGACACTATGTGTAATGACATGTTTTTTTTTAAACGAAACGATAGATATTATTACTCAAGAAAAATGTACAACCCGAAGGTTAAGGAACCCCATGTACCCCAAACAAAGGGGAATGAGAGACTCTAACAATAGAGTTCTAGACAAAAGAACCTAGAAGATTAAAAGCATGCTTGGATACAAATTCAAACCAAAAAATCCAATTATTTTTTTAACTCAACCACTTTTTTTAACTCAACTTTAACTCAACCTCACTATCATTGATATTGTCAATATAATTAAATAATATCAATCAATCATTTTTACACACAACATCAACCTTAATTCACTATTTATCAACTCGCTTAATTTTAACAACGATTTTGATATGGAGCCATCCACAGTTATTCACAAATGGTGTATTGACACGTGTCATGCTATAAATACACATTGAATACGTATCTATACATAAAGTTATGGATGACTCCATAGGCTTTTTGATTTTAACTAACAATCACATCACATCTTATCTCTGCTAATTTTACATCAATTTAATTCTAATCATTTTATTTGAAATATTATTTTAATATACCCCCTAATAACCAACCATACCAACTTTTTCAAATTTAACCAACTCAAACCAAAAATCCAATAAAAATATTTTTTATATCCAAGTATGCTCTAACCATCTAGCATCCAGCAGAGACTAAACTACTGAGACCGGTGTTTGGCGATTAATCCCCAAGACAAAAAGGTTAAGACCACTGATCAAAGACCCTAGCCAAAATAACATGTGTTGTACTAATAAAACGCTAAAGTTATTCACCACCTTAATCCGAAAGAGTGCATTCAAGAGGTGGAAGATGCCGAGAGTTTAATTCAAAATTTCCAAATCGCTTCAGGGGACAGCCGAAAGCCTAAGTCACCCTAAATCGCTTCAGCTGGAAGCCTCTACCCTTAAACTCAGTCCAACTTGATGTGATGCTTGTGTCAACATGAAAACGGGGAGATTTGGTATCAGCGGAATCGTTAGGAACGACCAAGGAAGTCCGTTATTCGCGTTTGGAAAGCCTATTAGTAATCCGGGCTCAGTTATTTATTGTGAGCTTTTAGCCATTAAACACGGTTCGAAAAATTGTGATGAACTGAAGCAAACTCCTATTCAGATTTTCTCGAACTCATTGTTGGCGGTACATATAGTTGTTGACATCAATGAGTCAAGTGGCTATACTCGTTCATGGGCTAATGATATTCGTGCTTATTTATCTGAAGCGTCAACAACAACAAGACAAATTCACCATATGCGTCGATCGGCAAACAAAGTTGCTCATGCTATTGTCTTTTGCTTCATTTTCAAGCTCCCTTTTCCTTCTTTAGTAAAAAAAAAAAATGCTAAAGTTGTTGTGAATAATGGACTAACAATAGTCCTTTGTATAAATCGGACTATGAATAGTCCCATTATGTAAAAATGTCAAGAAAGGTGGCAAAAGTTTTGCCTATAAATGTTGCTCAACTCATTGAGCATAGAGACACAAGAAATAAAACGAAAGAAAGAAAGAAGAGAAAGAAACAAAGGAGAGAAAATATTTAATAAAATTTATCTCCGGTTCTATATTTGTGTTCTTTATTTTCTCAGTATTTATAACACGTTATCAGCACGAGTCTCTACCCTTCAAAGCTCGATTTGTAATAAGACAAGAGTATGCTCTACGGTTGCATCTTATAGATGATCCTCCGTATCAGAAATCTAATTATCACAATCTTTCTAATTTCATAAATTAATTTTTGAATAAAAAATAGAAAGAGAAAATTAATATTACTAACAATATATAAGAAAATTCAAAATTAATTTATGGTCGGAGAACAAAAGCTGCTGTCAACAGAGATCGTGAAGAGGGCATCGAGTTGTCGGGCCCAAACACTGGATCGATAACTTTCTCGGTGATTATCCAGCGGAGGATGCTGGACTTTGTCCTGTCGGTGAAGCTTAAGTATGTGAAGTTGGGTTATAATTACCTGATGGACCACGGAATATACTTGACCACCATCCCGGTTTTGGTGCTGGTCAGCCTGACCAAGGAGGAGTTGTGGCTCAGGATTTGGGACAACGCCGCCATATATAACCTTGCCTCCGTCCTCGCCTGTTTGGGCCTTTCATTTTTCACGCTCTCCATATACTTCCTGTCCAGGCCGCGCTCATCTATTTTCTTGGTTTCGCATATTACAAACCAAGTCATGATTTGAAGCTTCCCGAGCTACCTTAAAAAATTGCCTTGGCTGTCACAACTGAGTTGCAGGTAAGAGTCATATGAATAAACAAATTTAATTGAATAAATTAAATTAGTTGAATGAACTTGAACGTATATTTATTAAGTTACCTAACTTGAGCAAGTCTGTCTGTGGGACATAGTGATGGTGGAGTAATGGAGCAAAGTCATGGTGTCTCGTGAATATTTAAAAAAAAAAAAAATATTCATTTAGCAAACAAAAATAATTAGGTAAATAATCATGTTTTGCTAAATATAAAAAATCATTGAAATATGTTTTTATTAAATGCATACTACTATATTTAATGATAGCTTCAATTTAAGACCAATATTGATATAGTTTATTAAATTATTGATATTTTAAAATGCATGAATTGTGAAAATTATTTGATACGTGGACATGTGGATATTTATGGATTGACCCATATTAATGTAATATGAAAAGAAATATGAGTGGCGATACAGACCAGCCAGTGCGGCTCTGCCGCCGATAGGTGATATTTAATGGTAGCCGACGGGTCAACTGTTGAAATATAAAATGGCCGAGCAGTGTATTCACCGAAATAAGATTTGAACAACTAAGTGAACCAGTTAATATATTGAATAGTGATGACCGATGATGGCCAAATGATATGAGTATTGATTAATGATAACCGGTGATACGGAATGGCCATATGATATGGCCATGTGCAAACAAATATACATATAAAAGGATATGAATGGCTATATATACATGGGTCGACCAGTGCGGCTCTGCCGCCGGCGACGAGCAGTACAAATTAAGTGATAGCCGATGAATGAAATAAATGAAACTTTGTATCCGGCCATATGAAAAGATGATTAAAGTCCTGATCGTGAAAGGATATTATATGGACTAATCTGATCCTGGAGAAATAATTGATAAATTCTCCAAATTTGTGGAAAAACGAATATTGACGAGATGGTACCAGTAGTTACCACGTGATTAATGTGATGTTGAAAGTTATGACATAATGATTAAATGATATCCTTGTATAAATGGTACTTAAAGCTACCATATAACGATTAAACAAAATGATGAAATGGTACCAGAAACTACCATTGGATGATTGAACAAAATGAGAAAATGGTACCAAAAGTTACCAGTTATGGGTGATCACACAAAATAATTTCTTAATATATTAAATGAGTCTAAGGGACTATATCAGATCACATTGAGATTCGAGATCATACATATATTACAATAAAGTGCTCCAGAAGAAGCACATGTGACAATAATTGTAGTCATGACGTACTACATACTTATCTTGAGGAAATGCGAAATTGATATTATTATTACTGAGAAACAAGTACAGAATGTTCAGATGATGGACATATGGAGAAGAGGCAATAAATACTCGATGAATACAAAATACGCAAATATTACATAATAGAACCCATAAAAGAAGGGTGCGTCTCGAGAGTATAAAACTCCGTAACTCTGCCACCCATAAATGATATTTGGGTTCATCATGAGAGATCTAAAGGATCAAAAGCTCTTTTTCTCTTGGCCACTTGTGTTTCCACAGAATCTTGAAATGTGATGCATTCTTGAAGTTTTTTTTTGATAAGTTCAGCAGATGTGTCTGCATATTTGAATATTTCTCTCGCTGAAGGAGATATAAAGGTTTGATATACTCCTTCATCTAAAAATCCAAGAAAACCATGAAAGAAGTTATTAAAATTCAACAGACCTATAGGCTTATTATGAAGTTTCAATTCTGCCCAAGAAGCAATGACAAACATTTTCATTAAAGTTCCATAACCGCCTGGAAGAATGATAAAAGCATCGCTATTGTTCACCATATCCATCATACAGTCATAAATAGAATGAGTTAGCATCATACTTGTGGAATCTTTGACGACCCTTGTTGAAGCTCTATGAAAAGGTATGATACTTTTCACTTCTATATTAAAACATATTCCAGCCATTAAAAGGTTATCAAAGAAAGTGATGCTAGTCCCTCCATACAGTAAATTGATTTTTTGATTCCCCATATCCCTTACTAGCTGACTTATAATATCAATATTTTGATAAAAACTTACCAGTTTAGAACCACCAAGAACACAAATGGTTTTGATCGGATGAAGAAAATTATTACCTTGCGAAGACTCTGGAATATCCATCTATTTATTGATAAACTGAATTTTTCAAAACTTTGCGAGATATATGATTATAATGAATGACTCGCTATTTAAAGGAAAGTTTTTGAAAAACGATAAATACTTGTACTGTTTTTCTTCTGACAATTGCGACCGACAGATAAGGCATGGGGTTTTAAATAAATCTTATTTGTCGGCAATTATAAGGATTTTTGTAAAATTACAGTACAACCTACTAAACTGTATTAGTATGATTTTTCGTACTAACAAGACCAATTTTACCAACTTGATTTTTTGAAATAATATTTTTTTAGACTGTAACGTTCTTCTTCACTTTTGAACTGAGTCCATAAAGACATAAGCTCACGATGCACATACCCACTAGGATGTGTCTCAAGAATCTGTTATCCATAGATTCCTTACTCAATCCATCCTTTATAAATGCTATTTTATCTTCTCGATTTTTGGACACGAACCCCACAGATTTACATCGTGTGTCACAAGTCCATCGAGCGCATTTGAAACATCCACCTAATCTTTTTGCTCTTCGTTTCTTTGCAAAAGTACTTTTACCCATACCTGGCATATATCTATATGAATTTGGAAACTCTCCAGACAATCGAACTTTTGCTTCAATCAACCATCGAATATCACTTGGAATATCATTAATCATTAGCACCCTCAATCTTTCTAATCTAGATCGATAAATCCTTTTTATGATATTTGTTGGGAGAAAAGAATAATATTTACGGATATTTGAGAGTGCTAGATGCATTTGAAAATTCGGACCTTTGTTAAGGATAATTGAATGAATTGCCTGATAATTTATAGAAAAACATAATGCGTAAGAGATACGACTCTGGACTTAAACAGTGTTCAAAAGTATGTGTGTCATACGGCATGATACAATTATGGATTTAAAGAGTGGCTAAAAGATATTGTGCCAGAGCCTACACTTAAAGTGTATTTATTGCCGCCGAAAGATGATGTGATATGTTTGTGATAAATGTGCCACAATGAATTATTGTGATGATTAATGATATAAATGATGATGGTTGCATGATTAACTGATTTTTGTGATATAAGATGTTTTGTTCTCGATTGGTGAAAAATATTACTAGCTAAATATTTGTGAATCGATATTTGATCAATCTGAGTATGAAAGGGGTACGATATATATGGGTCCACTACCCCTCCATGTGTGCTACTAGATATTATGGATCCACTAGTTAGCCACATGTGTATGATTCGTAACCTGAAGTTACAAGATGATTTGATCAAATAATGGATATATGACACGTAACCTGAAGTTACGAGATGGTTCGATCAAAGAATGACACGAGAAGATCCTGAAAAATGAAAATAAGTGTCATATGGAAGTGATGAAGCTAGTAATATACTCAGTTGATGAACTCTTGAAAGAAAAATGTGCACATTACAAATGATATGAGTTCAAAGTCCTCCAAATATATGTTGAAATCGAGAACAAATTGGAGACTAAATGAATTCCCTCAAGAAATTCAATACTGAAAATACAGATCAAGGATCTGTTAAGAGATGAGGGGTAGAATCAATGATTGAAATTTGGAAATGATATATGCATCACACTGAAAGTGTGCAAATCATAAACTTTATGATACTGATGATGGTGAATTATATGAAATTATATGATGGTGGAATAATACGCTGGAAGCGTTGGTATTATGCAAATTGAAATTCCCCAAATAAGTGATGAAAGGGGTGTATTTACTATTGATGAAATCAATTGATAATGAGATATCTCAATATACTACGGAGAATAATGAAAATGAATAAGTGTCAACACAAACAAATGAATAGCGCTATATAAATGATATTGACGAAAATGAAATCAGCTGAAATGTGAATATTGCGAACTATTGGCAGTAAGACCATTGAAATCAATTGATGATGAGAATGTGTTTAAAAATAAAAGTTGCACAAAGTATGATATGGCATACCATCAGTATCTGAAAATCTGAACGAATTTATATGATACTCATGCAAATTATGGAAAGATTATTATGGTAAATATATATAATACGCGTTGTACTCTTTTTCCCTTGACTGAGGTTTTGTCCCATTGGGTTTTTCTAGCAAGGTTTTTAATGAGGCAACATGGATGACGTATTCACATGAATAGTGTACTTTTTTTCCTTCATTAGGATTTTGTCCCACTGGGTTTTTCCTAATAAGGTTTTAACGAGGCATATTCATGGTATGATGAGGAGTACTGGATAAATAATATGATTCCTCACGATGATAATAGTAGCTGTACTCTTTTTCCTTTGATCAAGTTTTTTCCTACTGGGTTTTCTTGACAAGGTTTTAACGAGGCAGCACGTTGATACTACACTAAAGATGATCTATTTGAGGGGGAGCAATGTTGTGTTTCCACAATGCTCAGGTTTTGTCCCACCGGGTTTTCCTGAGGAGAAATGTTATGATTTCACGATGATCATGTTTTGTCCCACTGGGTTTTCCTGTCATGCTGAAGCAACGGTATTTGATGGCCACAAGATACACTTCAAGATGTGCAGAATGGGCTTTGTTCAAATTAGTTAAAATATGTTTAGAAAATAGTCATTCAAGGGAGAATGTAACTAATGTACATTATATAATTGTTAGTCCAAGGGGGAGTATTGTGAATAATGGACTAACAATAGTCCTTTGTATAAATCGGACTATGAATAGTCCCATTATGTAAAAATGTCAAGAAAGGTGGCAAAAGTTTTGCCTATAAATGTTGATCAACTCATTGAGCATAGAGACACAAGAAATAAAACGAAAGATAGAAAGGAGAAAAAGAAACAAAGGAGAGAAAATATTTAATAAAATTTATCTTCGGTTCTATATTTGTGTTCTTTATTTTCTCAGTATTTATAACAAAAGTTATATTATCTAATTATTTTCTTTTATTTTTACTTTTTGACAAACAATTTTGAAAATGCTGAGACGATAATGCCGCGACCCAGTGCTCTCCCAGCAGGATACCGCGCTGCAAACCCATCCGCACACCTCCTTTCCCGCGCTCTGAACCTCGCACCAGAACACAACCATCTTCTTCACACTAACAACAGCACAACCGACCCAATCCCAGACCCGTCCGCATCACTCCGACCCGAGTCCCTACAGAACCCGTACTCTCTCAACAAAATCATATCTTGGTGCGCGGGGGACGGCCGCCTGTCGACCGGAATCCAACTCCACGGCCAAGCCGTCAGAAGGGGCTTCGTTCCCAACGTGCACGTCGCCACCTCCCTGCTCAACATGTACGCCAAGTGCGCCGAGACCCCGCGGGCCCACCAGCTGTTCGCCGAAATGCCCCACCGGAACGCGGTCACCTGGAATGCCTTGATTTCTGGTTACGTGAGGGCCCGTGATTCGTCTGCTGCTTTTGCCCTGTTTGTTGAGATGCTGAGGGAGGATATGACAGTGACGCCTTTCGGGCTTTCGGCCGTGTTTGTGGCCTGTGCGCAGCTGGACAACCTCGTGCTTGGCGATCAAATACACGGGCTGAGCTTGAAATCGGGCCTCGAGTCGAATGCGGTGGTGGGAAGAAGCTTGATCGACATGCGGGCAAAGTGCGGGGACATGGAGGGCTCGGAAAAAGTATTCGGTAAATTATTCGATAAGAACGTGGTTGCTTGGACTTCGATTATCTCTGGGTACGCTCTCAACGGGCGTTCATATGAAGCAATGGGTTTGATCCGAGAAATGTTCTCTTCAGGCGTCAAGGCGAACTTCGTTACGTACAGCAGTCTACTGAGCTCATTTCACTGTAAAGATGATTTAATTCACTGCCAGCAGATTCATTCTCGTGTGATTCGTGAGGGTCTGGAATTCAACCCTCACGTGTCGACCACGTTACTAGTCGTGTACTCGGATTGCGGTTGCAGCCTAACTGAGCTTTATAGAATTTGCTCGTCCGTCGTGATATGGGATCAGGTCGCATATAATGCTGCCATCGCTGGATTTGCCAACCTGGCGGCTGCTGAGGTGGCGCTCACGTGTTTTTCCCGGATGAGGAGGTTCCGTGTGGCTGTCGATTTCTTCACTTTCTCGAGCGTTCTGAAAGCTCTTGCAAACGTGTCGGCTCTTCAGGAAGGGAAACAGGTGCACGCCCTTATCTCCAAGACTCAGTTCATCACGAACCTTTACGTTCAGAATGGGCTCGTTTCTATGTATGCCAAGTGTGGCGAGATTGGGCCCGCCAAGAATGTGTTTGCCTCGATTGCTTGGCCCGATATTGTCTCTTGGAACTCGCTGCTCACGGGCTGCGCTCAACATGGGTTCGGTTATGAAGTCGTCCAATTGTTCGAAAAAATGAGGAGGAGCCCAGTTGCTCCGAACCCGACCACTTACCTTGCAGCTCTCATGGGCTGCAGCCATGCTGGACTTCTCGAGAAAGGGCTCGAGTATTTTAATATGATGGAAAAAGACGAGTCTTTTCCTCCAGCCCGTTTGGACCACTATGCATGTCTTGTGGACCTGTATGGTCGGGCCGGGCTTTTGCATGAGGGTGAAGCTTTTATTAATAGCATGCCTATTGAAAAAGGTCCGTCTGTTTATAAAGTTCTGTTGAGCGCATGCCAGGTTCACGGTAATAAGGATATTGCTGTAAGGTGCGCGAGGAAGATTGTGGAGTTGTGTCCTGATGATCCATCTGTTTACGTTTTGCTGGCAAATGTGTTGGCGAATGAGGGTAGTTGGAGTGATGCGGCTCAAGTGCGTAGGATGATGTGTGATAAGGGGGTGCGGAAAAATCCTGGCTTTAGCCGGTTGTGATTTGGAAAATAAGATTTGGGATCTTGGTTCGGTTATTAGGTAGGTTGCGAGTTGGATTACTCGGCTTTTGATTTGGTAAAGGGAATTTTCCTACTGAGAAAATTTTTGTTTGTCATACTTTTTGCATCCTGGACATCTTTAGCGATGAGGTTTTGAACATTTTGTTGTTACGCGTTTTGAGTTTTTTGATTTTATGTTTAACGAGGGAAAATTTTTTATAGAGCCCCCTGTGCGAGTAGAACAATTTTTTTTCTCATGTAGATAGAAATGTACTTTGGGTTTATTTTCATAGGTCAACTGTTCTTAGCCGATGAATTTAGATGTGAAGTTATGAACATTTTATTTAGCCTGTAGTTAGTATGGAGGATGGATTTAGAAACTTCTTTCTACATTTAGCATGTAGGTAGATGCCATGATGATGTTATGCCAGACTTGATTTAATTTGGTATCATAGTAAAAGTTGGTTTGAGTTGATTTTAGTGTTATGGTATTTCGTGAACCCTTGCCTTCCTACTTTAGTAAAAGCTTTGTTACACGCATGAAACAATACTACCTGTATTCAAAATGAATTTCGTTTTGTGGTATTTATTCTTTTTTTATTGTGGCCAAGTAAATGTAAGCCTTTTCATTCGAATAACTTTGTCTGCAGGAGTTCATCGGAAATGATCAAACAGGAACACTATTAGGAAAAAATGTTTTCTCTGACTAGGAAAGCCCTGGAGTTTTTTGAAGTCGCTCGCTGGAGGTTTTCTAATCTCCAACAGGTAAGAAATGTTGTTGTTCATTATTTTTAAGATTCTCTGTTGTGTTTTTTCTTTTGTCATAAGAAACTGAAAATCTCATGTTGTCCAATATAAATGGAAGTGTGCTCTAATTCCTTTTACCCATTCTAGGGAATGTCTATCAGGTATGTAGCTGAATCTTTTATCTCTATTTTAGTGAATACCGTACTATTTATAGATATTAAACTTGTATTCTTTTTTCTGGATAGGCTAAAGAAAAGGGGAATCAAAGAATTTCAACAACGAACCATTTTCTTTAACGTCACAAACAATGCTATTTAGAGCAGGGGCTCCAGTGAAATACTATTTGTGGCGAGTCATGCATTTCTTTTCAACTTTTGGTTAAAGCTAAAAGTGGTATTCATAGTCCACCAATGAAAGCCGATATCCAAGCCCCAAATAACGCAGCAAGTCCTTTATATACATCTTTTCCATCCACAACAGCAACATTTACGCAGTTATCAAGTGAAATTTTACTGCAATGGCTCAACTTGAAAGGACAAGAAGATCCACCGACACCCAGAAAACGCCTACTGCTCAAACTTCACCAACTTTCGAGCAGCTGCTAATAGGTAACAAATTTTCTGTGCCCTGAACTGATAGTGCTGTGTTTTAGAAATTCTGTTTTTTACATTTTTTTAGAATTTATAGACTTGTGTGTGGAAATTGAGAGTGTATTGGAATGATTGAATGAAAATGGTATATCATATAGGTCTAGATATGATAACATAGATTTGAATGCCGAATTGCACGGTAGAAATGGTATTATGTTTGCATTATGTTCAATGTTCAATGGTATTATGTTTGAATGAAAAGATTTGAATAAAGATGGACAGCAACTTATTGCAGTTGCATATAAGGTCGAAATTCGAATTATCCAACAAGCGATCGGGTGGTTAGTTCATGAATCATGATGCAAGTTTTCGATAAAATTATCTGCTTCCCTTCTGATGCATAATTGGAAACTGAAAAAGATGGGTGTTTGGTAGCAAAATTATACGTATAATATAATACTTTTCGGCAAATCATACTCTCTCTCTCTCTCTCACACACACAATCTCTCCCATCTCTCTCAGTCGACGAGGCATACTGGTCGCCAACCACATCTCCTAGGTCGTTAATGAACCACGGGCATCAAGAAGAAAGTATGAGCCCTCCACAAAACCGAAAATCGGTTATTGCCAAAGTAAAGGAGAAAGCCAAGAAGCTGAGGCACTCTCTCAGCGGCCGAAAGAACATCAACGAAAACGAGCTTATTGATGACAATACAACCCCACTATATGGCCTCGACTTAGATGAACACGATGATGACAGGCCCGTGGAGGATCCCGAATACCTCGGAGCTCCAAGTAATTTACACACACACTTGCTCTTTCAAATTTCCAGTTTCGATCTAATAATAGGCAAAAATGCATTTTTAGTCCTCTTGATTTAACGCCATAGCAATTTTAGTCCGAAGGTTCCAACTTTTCGCCTTTTGGTCATGCGATTTAATATTTTGCTGAAATTGCAGAAAAATTTAAGTTACATGACTGAAATTAAATTGAAAAATCAGGGAATTTGGATATATTTCAGTCCTCAAAAGGATGGAAATTGCAGCAAAATGTTAAATTATAGGACCAAAAAGGCAAAATGTTGGAATCTTGAGACTAAAATTGCTACGGCGTTAAACCAGCAGCAGCAGCAGGACTAAAAATGCAATTTTGCCTCCAATAATATTACGCGTATATCTGGTTTTCCTAAACTCACAAAAACATAAATAAATAAATAAATAAATAAATAAATAAATAAATAAATAATTAATTGGGTCACATCACAGTGTACGAGTCGGAAGGCGCACCTGAGAGCTTAAGAGAGAACGCGCGACAGAACCCGAGGGCTGTGCCCGTGGTCTCCGAGAGCCATTGGTTCCCGATAAGGACCAAACCACCCGAAGCATTACCTGTGACCGAAACTATCCACAAACTCCCTTCCAAGATTTCCGGGCTTTCCGTCTCACCAGAGACGGAAAATGGTGAGACGGGAAGGATTGGTAACCGGGACAAAACGGGAAATCCGAGCCCTCAGAAGTGGGACAAAGGGGTGTCGGTGAAAGAGTACTTCATGAACAAGCTGGAGCCCGGGGAGGATGATCGGGCCCTTTCGCGGGCTATTACGGATGCCATTAGCCCGAAGAAAGTAACTAACAACACGGGAGTGGTGGAAAAAGTGAAAGAGGCCGTCAGTTCGTTTTTCTGGGACGATGAGCTGTCGAACTCGGCAGCGAAGCCCGCAAACCCGAGACTTTACCTCTCTGATGCTGCCAGCTCAGCTCCTCGTCTACCAGTTTCGTCTAATGCACGCACAGGTATACTAAAACTCCTAAACCGTTACTGTTATCAATGCAAGTCAGCAAATTTTTTTTTTTTCTTTGAAAAAATACTGTTTTCGGAAATTGTTTATGGTTAGGACAATCTTTTGTTGTTGAGTTGAGTTGAACTCTGATGAGGATTTTGTGACAGTTTCTGCTGAAGAAGAAAATCATGGGAAGATACTGCAAACCAACTGAACACTTGCAGAATACACGATAACATAATCGGTTTTCATCGATTTTTGGAGCCTTATGCAGACTACAAGATAGTTTTTACCTTGTAGTTTCCTCACGTTTTGTTTATTTATTTTATTCTTTATTAAACCCGCCTGCATTCAGGCAGAGGTTTAGCCATGTTCTTACCAGTTTGCAGTATCTAGTTTAATTACTTTTCATTTTTTATTTTTTATTTTTTGTTCTTTTTTTCGTTGTCTTTGAGAAATGAAAACTATAACAAATAAGGAGCATGATAAACATGGGGAAAATACCTTAAAACATCCCCAACAAATTTCCAGAATTATTTTTCTTATACTAAAAAATCAAAATAAAGTCGACTGGTCACTGGTGGTAGTATCTGAGATATCAACAGATTTAGTGGGCTGTACAGAGGCTTTCACTTCAATATTTTGGATTCAATTTCTTCCAAGCTCAAGCCTTTGGTCTCAGGCACAGAGACTACCACAAACACCAGTGAAAGTATAGCAATGGCCCCAAATAGAAGAAAAAGATTTTCCGCTCCAAGCAACTCCTGCGAAGATCGATCATACGCGTTTTTTGTAATTTGAGTGCAGGATAAAGAAATACCAGAAAATCAGTGCATAAGGCAAAAGGCAAAAGGAAAAAAGTAGGGATAGGATTCTATCGGCACCTTTAAAGGCGAGAAAGCAAAGGTCACAATAGCATTCGAGCCGAAATTTGTGAGTACTGCAAGACTAATACCCTTTCCTCTCGTGCGAATCGGGAAAATCTCTGAGACCATCAGCCAACTGATAGGCCCGAATGATATCTAAAAGTTCACAAAACAAGCAAAGTATCAGTTAGGAAAATATGGGAAAAGATAGAATTCGAGTTTTAAACATTTTTTCACGATCACCTGGTAACAACCGACATAGAGAAGCAGAGCTGCTACGGCAACTAATGGATAGCTTCCCAAGAATTTGTAGTAAGCCGAAAGCAGAAGCAACGAGAAGGCCTGTTATCAAATTTAAAAAATGGAATTCATACAGAGCAAAAAGACAACAAATTTTTTTTAAAAAAAATTTGTATCTATTAGGATGGAAAGTAACTTACCAGCCCAGCAACACCGCCGATTAGCAAGGGCCTTCTCCCGAGCTCGTCGACTTTCAAGACGGCTATTCCCGTCATGAGCAACTGTGAGAACAAACAGGATCACATAACAAGAGTTATCTATAACAAAGTTGTTTTCTCATAAAAAAAAAGGATGAGAAATAGTACAAATAAACATTTTGTATGAAAAAACGCATCGTTTGGAAGTAACCTTAAATACTCCAATAACAACTGAAAGTTTAGTAGCATCTGCAGCTGCAGCAAATCCAGCAGACTAGAAAAATGATGAGACCAAGAAATGTACAACAGTCAGAGAGAGAGAGAGAGGGAGAAAGAGAGAGAGAGAGAGAGAGAGAGAGAGAGAGAGAGAGAGAAGCATTGAATTCGAGACGGATATGAAGAATTGACTTTTAGGTGGAGAAGAACCTGCAGAATGGGGCCTGCATAATACAAAACGCTTGGTTGTCCCGTGACCTGATAAATCCATAGAGCCTTACACGTTACTTTTCGTTCGGAACTGAATGAGAGACACCGACTGAATTTACTTAACTCAAATTGATAACACAACCTGCTGAAAAAAGACCAATCCTCCACCGATTATAAACGCTTTCAGACTCGGCCCCTGAAAAACCTCGAGAAAATTTCCCTCCGAATCCTGATCAGAATATGCAGTTTTCAAGGAAAGAAGAGTATCTTCAATTTGAGTTTCAAACACTTTGTCATCACTTAACCCGCCTCTAAGTCTTCTCAAGGCAAAAGTTGCCTTCTCTTTAAATTCTTGTAAAGAACCTTTGCCCTGAACAGCTCTAAGGAGTAACCATCTTGGAGATGGCGGGAGACTCCACATGCCCAATCCCATAAGTAATGCAATTGGGGCACTAAACCCATACATATAACGCCACCCTCCAACAGCATTGATTTCAAAACTTCCGACAAAATAACCCAACTGCGCAGAAAAAATTTAAATATAAGCTTACATGGCCAGAAAAGGAAAAGGGAAAAAAATAAAGAGAGCTGGTGTAAAGAAAAATTGTTTTACCAAAATACCCATCACGATGAAAAGCTCCTTCAAGGATATTAGAGTTCCCCTAATTTGAGATGGACAGGTCTCTGCTATGTAGAGAGGTGCCCCATGCATTGCCTGCCAAACTAATCTGAATAAATTGAGGATTATGTATTTACTAGATTAGGCTAACACAACTTGAATTCAGAGAGAAGAAGAAGTTAGAAAGATTACAATGCCAATGCCAAGACCGTAAAGAACTCGGGCTACCAAGAGAACTCCAAGGCCAGGAGCATAGGCAGTTAACAAACCACCAATCAAATAGAGGATTGAGGCAATGACAAGCTCTCTTCTTCGTCCTACACGTATATCAGCAAAGATACTTCAAATAATTCGTTGCAATGAAATTTTCATTGTTTTGAAAGGAACATAAAAATGAGGAGAGGGGGGTATTATAAGTAGATTACCAAGGAAATCGGCCAAGGGGTAAACAATGGCAGAACCAATAAGAGCTCCATAAAGAGAGCCGCTAACCTTGAATGCAGAACAATCAAACAAGATGAGAAAATGAGAATTGCATTCTGGCATATTAGCAATGCAACAAGATTTCAACCTCTCAACCTACCACTAAACCAAGCTGAACAGCTGAAAGGTTGAACCAATTTGTGCCACTAAGGTCAGGTGACTGAAAGACGAAATTCAAACAGTCATAACTCTGAACAAGGTTGATAAAACACGAAATGGGAATTTCTACCTGTAATGAGATTGTAGCTCCAGAGGTCGCACCAATGTCATAGCCAAATAATAAACCTCCCAATGCTGGAAATATAAATCTGACGACAATGTATATTATTCACTGTGGACAAAGTAATTTAAACTACATCCAACCAATATATATAGCAAGTGACTCCCATTTACTAGAATTTCGTTGATAAGCTAGAATGACGAGGCAGATGACCCATAACAGTCAAATTCTAAAGCTAATAAAAAATAAAACCAAGCTTCTCTATCAGAATTGCATTGTTAACAATTCCAATATTCTGATCTAACCATGAATAACTCAATGACTTTGTATCAGTTTCGATATTCTGCTATACATAATAAAGTAATAATTAAAAAGAAAAAAAGAAATAAAGCACCCTATGATTCTGTGAAATTGAAACAAAAGCTTACGGTAAGATAACTGAAGACCAAGAGAAAACCTCTTGCAGTACTGTGTCAGAATCTGACGAATCAGCTTCACCTGAAGAAGAAGAAGCCCCCACCTTCCAACCAAAAAAAAAAGAAACTAAAACTTCAAATCTCAACACTTTTACTATTCATCAATCCATCCCAACAAAAGCCACAACCAAAAAAGGGACAAATCAATTCTCTCTTGTCCTGAAACTACCTTGATCAAGTTTCGTTTGGCAGCAGACCTTAAACAAGGCAATCCAACACTTTTACCACCATCAGGCAAAATGTGGGGTCTTCTAGGGCGCAGGCCAACGCCTCTTCTAGCCGCGATCGTAGTAAAAGGAGCGAGCTTTTTGGAAGAACAGTAATGGGCTGTTGGTGGGCACTTGCTTGACAGCTTGAAGTTCAACAATGGCGGAGCACATGCAAGAGCCATTTTTCCACACACTCCAAAATGGATGTTCTGTAGAGTATTTGAGCATGTATACATACAAAAAGGGTGCGTCTAGGTTCACTCCAATTTTCAACCAAATCACTTTATCCAATCCTTTCGATTTGGGGAGAATTTGAATGGGTCTGTGTAACTCAGTGTAAGAGAGGTATATTTTACTAATTATGGCGGCCTTATTTCTTTTCTGAGAGAGAGACGACTTTTTATAGAAAACCCGGGCGATTTTGGGAAACAATATAATCACGCAAGTCTGAGGTGAGAAAATGATGGGGGAAAATATCTTCGTCCAACTATGAGTGTAATTTAATAGAAAAAAATAAGTTGCTACATCATGTTATTGGCACTTTTGTTTGAAAATAGCAAAAATAACATAAAACTGCAAAATAGCATGCCATGTAAGCATTAAGACTATGATTAGATATGAATTCAACTAGTAAAAAACTAGTTTTTTTGAACTATAGTTAAGTTTGAAAAAAGTAGTATGGTTAGTTGTTAGTAGATATATTAAAAAAATATTTAAATTAAAATAATTAAAGTTGATTTGATGTGAAAGTATGAGAAAATGATTGGAAGTGATGGTTAGTTAAAATTATGTGAGTGGGTGAATAGTGAATTAAAGTTGATGTGATGTGTAATAATGATTGGTTGATATTATTTAATTATATTGATAATATTGGAGATAGTGGAGTTGAGTTAAATTTGAGTTTTGAGTGAGATATTTACTATACAAATTATATACAATCACGCCCTAAGTGTAGGCTTTTCGGCCGCAAAATTGTAAATGTCATGTCGCGTTTTTGAGAAAATTTTGCATTCACGGGATATGTTGTGCTGTAGCGGACTACACTGCGCTTTTGAAAACGCCGGTATTAGTTGATAGTGATAATGGATAGTGATAAGGTATTTAGCTAATAACTCTGGTACAGGACCTAAGATCCCGGTTTTGGGTCAGTGATTTGTCTTTTGGCTCCAAGTCAAATTAGCTTGTTCACCATAGTGCCTAAAAAAGCGTCGGGGACCTTCCCAGCATAAACTTTCAAACCCTCGAGTTAGTTTTTCGGTGTAGAAAGATAATATGTTCAGTTTCATAAATTGATGATAATGATTTGTGATAATCTATATGACATAAACTCTTGCCTCTATATAGAAAGATAGTGACATATTGTCCAAGATTATTATGACTTTGTTCATACCGACTGTGTGAGTAATTGTTCACGTTGATGTATCGTTAAGTCGATAGTCGACGTAATTGTTCTACAGTGACTCGGTCAACACAATTGACTCGTTCGACCTACGTGTCTCCGATCTAAGTCGACCTATGAGAGCTCCGATTTATGTTTGAGTTATATGTGGCCATAAATACTGAGATGTAGGGCCATATTAAGGGTAGATGTGGCCACATGGATTTTTTTTTTTTTTATGAATCTATTTACTATATAATTAGACTACTCACTTTCTATATTTGGTAAGTTTTAAAAGTGGGTCCCATGGACTTTCTATTTTTGGAAAGTTGATTTCTAACTTCATGGGCACGGTCTTTTTGTTTATTTATTTTGTAAAAGAATATTTGTTGTTCATAACTGCCCATTCAAAAAGTTTGTATAATTAGACAACTCACTTTCTATATTTGGTAAGTTTTAAAAGTGGGTCCCATGGACTTTCTATTTTTGGAAAGTTGATTTCTAACTTCATGGGCACGGTCTTTTTGTTTATTTATTTTGTAAAAGAATATTTGTTGTTCATAACTGCCCATTCAAAAAGTTTGTATAATTAGACAACTCACTTTCTATATTTGGTAAGTTTTAAAAGTGGGTCCCATGGACTTTCTATTTTTGGAAAGTTGATTTCTAACTTCATGGGCACGGTCTTTTTGTTTATTTATTTTGTAAAAGAATATTTTTGTTGTTCATAACTGCCCATTCAAAAAGTTTGTATTATTTCAATGATTTTTTTACATTACAATGAGAACGTATGTCTTTTAGAAAATAAGCGATCGTATTTTTTTTTGTACAATATTTAGTCATGATATTTTTAATTTCTTAAATATTTGAGTGC